CAACGTTTTTTGTCAATATAATAAACGGCGTAATTTATATTGTTGCAACAAAAACAAAAAAGCTGATTTTTTGAAAATGGAATATTAAAAAATTGGCAATATTGTCCATATATATAGAATGTTTGACCTGGAATATATTTAGACAACAAATCGACTAAGTTGTGAAAACAATTTGTTTTCATTTTTTATCGTTGTTACGCCCACAATATCAAAAAAAGAAAATGGTGGTCCACATTACCCGATTTAAATATTTTATTACTGGACCTAGTTATTATGTTAAAAACGTTCAAAGGCACATTAGGGTTTTAACTTTTTAACAAATGAATTTTGGCTACTAATGTCTTAAACAGAGTTTATTCCATATAATTTCTTAAGGTGCAATCATATATTTTAACTGACTTTCATCTATAAAATGTATGTCCTCTATCTGTCATATTTTTCTATCAATTCTAACCATGATCAATATTTATATAGAAAATGTCTTGCAGTGCTCGTACTTTTCAAACTATTACTTTATGACTACGTAAATGTTACATTAGCTGTGTCTGGTTACTTTTCCAATAAAATTTACTCAGTAAGTTCTATTTCAGAGAGTAAGCCGTTTTTATTCTCTTCTGGATAATACTGAGAAAAGTAAACAGACATTATCCATTAAGACTTTAATAAATATCTCGTTATTTCATTTACAATGCTTGTTATGTTCTTTAAGGAATAAAACTCCAAAAATAAACCAGTGATCGGAGCAGTATAGTCGGACGGGGCCGACTATATGATACCTACACACAACAGCATGGGCAATATTTCACGATATTTGCACCCTCTTGACCGACTAGATGTCAATACATATTACTAATATTCAGGACAGCCCTTCTAATTACTTATTCTTCATCGTGGGTTGTGTTGTGATGTTCGGCTTTCAATTGTGGCCTATAGATCGACTCGAAAAGACACACAAAATTAAGTTTTCGGTGAACTTCCTCCCAATATTATTATCTGAAAATTATAAGCTTTGTCCTTAACCATAATTGTAACCTCACGGAACATTTCAAAACGATCAGCCCCATGTTTCCGCCCTCTAGTGCGGTAATAGATTACTAAATAATATATGCATATGTAAGCACCTGTAAAAATTTAATTGTAACTCCCACATCCGAGTACATACGACAATATAATTGGTATCATCTATTTCTGTTGTTGACCAATGTTTTTCTTTATTAAATTTGTACTCCTAATTATTATGAAATTAAAACGATTTTTACATATTTGCTCAAATATGAAATAAAAATCGTTTTAATTTCATAATAATTAGCTGACCAAAAAAGCCCAACAAACAACATACAAATATAATTGGTATCAGTTTAAAGGTCAACCACTCCTCTATATATACTATCAACTTCCAGGGTGTATATCCTTCAGGGGTATACATATACGCTATAGAATACAAATTTTGTCATTTTTAACACAAAAGTCAGAGTCCATTTGATCCGCTACATTTTTACCGATCTTTATAAAAACAGACATTCTTATTCTTTGGCCCGATCCCCTTCTCCATGTAAAATTCGCGATGTTTGGGCCATAATTGCTGCCTCTGGATCGACCAGAAAAACCGACAAGAAAATAGTTTTTGGTCCATTTCATCCCTTAAATATTAACCGATCTATACCAAAAACAATAGGGGTCTTCATTGGCCAGAACCCATCAGACATGCAAAATTTCGTAAAGATTATAATGGACGGGACGGACGGACACACATGTCTTAGGGCTGCAAAAAGCTATAATACCCTGACAACATGGTTGTGTAGGGTATAAAAATGTTTCTTGATTTTGGTAAAAATTTATAATTAATGGGTGCTTGAAATATTTCGAACTCAGCTGGATATTTCTTACTGGAATACATTTACCCATTAAAATTAAGTATGTTCTCAGCGTAAAACTGTCAAATTAGCTCTCTCCGTTCGCTCTCTTTTACTGGACCTTGGAGTAAACAGACAACATTCAGTACCATTTGGTAACTGGTCTTACCAAATATCGAGTATACAGATACAGCTATTGAAAATATTTAGATTTTGAGTTTCGTGGCACAATTTTTTTATGTCATCTATTTTCATTTCCAAAATCTGGTCGCCTTATGTCCCTATTTACAATTAAGAGTAAGTATGTTATTTTGAATCGATTGCATTTCTTTGTATGGGACGCTGAAACCTTTTATGATTTTCAAAATGTCATATATTTTGTTGGATACAGATGATTATGTCATTTTTTTCTTAACATAAATTTCTAATCATAAATTTATTGATGTGTTTTTAAATGTCCATAATAGTGATTTGAAATATACGATCAGAAAATATAATTTGTTCATATATAATTCAGAAAAGGGCAATATTCTCCACAAATTTATATATTTTTGTTAAAAAATTCGTCACTAAAATTTGTTATTGAATATATTTTGCAAATTATTTGTCAACGATATCTAATTTATAAAGAAATTTCTTTTCAATTTTAATATTTAATTTAATTAAAATATAAAATTAATGAGATCGCAACATTTAACTAAATTGGATGAATCAAGTTAATACTTGATAAATTATGAATAAATTTCTAAGAAAAAATTTTTGCGAATGTCAAATTGGCAGGAAATTAGAAAAAAAAACAAAAATATTTATTAGAAAGTTTTGCCCTGAACCACATGCAAAACAACATTGCGTTTTGCTATATTTTTGACCTGACACGCTTTCTAGTCGGTTAATCAAGCGTAACATCAATGCCGCGAATATCGGAGGGGTCATATTCCAAAAAAGAATTTAACCTTTTTATCATTGGCATTTTTATACCAAAAAAGATGTATGTCAAACTTTCACTAAAAAATTAAGAAAAAAATATTGATTAACAGGTACGGTGCAGATAGGTCCCGTGTCATGTATGTGATTCCCCATGTAAGGAGTGTATTATATTTTAAAAATGTTTGATCTTTTAAATATGATTTTTATATTAAACTACTTGTGTGCAGTGTTCTCTATATTTATCTTTTACTCTGAAACCCCAAATATTTACTCTCACCAAGGGTGATGCTCGTGTTACACTGTAAGAAAATATGTCTATTCTTATGGAATCAATAAACAATTTATAATATTTTATAAATGTAGATAATAATACATTAAATAATGCTTTAGATATTATGAACGAACATGGGACTATGTCTCTGAAATGTAAAAAAAAAAAAAATAATCCAGATATAGCCGATTAATCGTAGAAGCAATTTTCAAAAATGTGTCACTTTGGATTAAATGGGGAATTCTATTGATTCATATTGCATTTAGAAATTGTTTAAATTTTGTCACTTTGTGGAGAAGTTTCCAGAAGGAGTGGGCCGATTGCCCCATCGTTTCTACTAAATTTTATGTTCGATTCATATGGGATTTACATATTTTTCAATTTTTGACCCATGGCACCTCCAGTACTGGAAGGAGTGGAACAATCGTCAAACAGCTACAGGCTAGGTTATATTAATACCAATATTATGTTGTGCAAAGTTGTTTCAATTCATATTATTGTATGGAACTTATTCTTCGCAAAATGTTTAAAATTTGTGGGGAAACTCCAGAAAGATTGCGAATTTTGAAGAACATTCTTAATTGCTTGACGAATATTTGCAAATCATCTCCAAATTGTCGGAAACGAATTTGTTACAACTAAAGACACATTTTTACTAAAACAAAGTACATAACCCATATATACCCTAAGTAGCCATAAGGCTGTAGATATAAAAATCGCCTTTATTTTATTTTTGAAGAAGTTGTTGTCGATAAAGTTGAAGAACCTTTGAAGATGGAAGCTGTAGCATCAGCTGAGAAAACTGAAGATGTTGTAATGGCGATGGGGGAGCCCCTCATGATAATGGAACCAGAAATGATGATGCAAAAGAAAGAAAAATTATAGTGGAAGAGCCAGTTATGATGAAAGGAGCTGTCATGGTCGAGGGAAAACATGCCGTCATTAAGAAACTAGAAGAGATGATGATGGAAGAACCTGCCATGAAGAACGAACAAGTTATTATGCTGATGGAAGAACCAGTCATGATGGAGAAAGATGTTATGGTTGAAGAACCCATGATGGAAGACAAAATAGCTCCTGTCGTCCAAGAGACACCAAAAGTAACTCGAATGATCCAGGTTGGCGAATAGTTAATACCCGTACAAATTGTTACTGCCAAATCGGATATCATGAAAAGCTCTGAAGATGTAGTCGATGGCACCAAACCAGAAGAAGCCAAATCTGAATAGTAAGCATTATTTCTTGTCCGAATATGGAAACCATTTTTCCACTCCTACTAGTACACAGGCTAAATCCTCAAAAAGCTAGTAGCATCGATCACCAAACCTCATTTGGACAACTTATTACTTGAATTATTTACGTATTTACTTGTGACACTCCTCTCACAAATAAAATATATTAATTTTAAAATCTCTAATATATATAACTATAAATTACGCACTTATATGGTAATTCAAATAATTTCATACTTTCCAAATTTCCCTATTTTTTCTGAGTGTATACAAATTGGCTAAGAATATATTATCATGCTAAGGCTAAGAAGAAGACTATTACCGACAGCACTGTTGACCCGTATGTAGCACGCACATCTGTATCACAACATCAAATATCAAGCTCATCGAACGCTGCGCTCACAGTAGGGTCGTTAGCCATCAGCAGCATAACGAAGAGGGCACACACAAAAAATTAGCCTCGTCTAACATAACAACAAAACTAATCGCAAAATAAAAAGCACCGACTTGCTGTTCGCTCGAACAGTTCAAATTGTGTATCGCGTGTCAAAACAAGTGTCAGAGTTGTGTCAGTCAGTCGGCAAGGTGTGTTCTGAAAGCAAACGCCGAGTATAAAAGCGAGGTGATAACAAACAATTGCTCCAGTGATTACAAATAATGTTCAGACAGCCCTCGTACTGATCGGATAGAATAGTAAAGTGCGAGAGTGTAAAACGTAATAATGAATAAACATTTAAGCCTTTTCACCTGGGCAATAATTGCCCTGGTTTTGAGTTGTGGGTGTGTCGCCTATCCCACTGAATCTGATGCCGAGCAGACAACCGAATCGCCCATAGCCGATATGGCTTTGGTGGGTAAGTGAAACGAACGTGGAAATATATTTGTGTGAATTTTAAATGTCATTGGACAATTTCTAGATACCCATATGAAGGACAGTAAGACCGAGACGGAAGTTAAGGAACATGGCAAACAACACTCTGCTAAGGGCGATAGTGCCACACCCCAGACTATTGCCGATTTTGTAATTCATCCTTTGATTGCATTGAAACCAAGAACTCCTGAGGAAGCTGTAGGCGAGGGCAAACAAGCCGGAAGTACCACTACACCCGCACCTTGGCAATTTTTCGGATTCAATCCATCCCAAAGTTTGGGTTCCTCGGTGTCCTCTTTGGCTGGCACCGTTACCGGCTGGTTGGGCAATCGTATTCAAATTCCCGGTTTGATTGATACACCCGTTGCTGAGAGCACCACAACAACTACCACCACGACCACAACTCCTCGTCCCGATGTTATTGTCAGGGTCCAACATCGCCCCACCACTCGTAGGCCTTTTGTGAACAACAACATCCCCAATCGCCCACATCGCTTCAGTGACAACGGTATCTATGATTCCGAGGAATATTACGACGACTACGAAAACGATTACGATGGTGATTACGATAATGACTTCAACAACAATGACGATGATGATGACTTTGTACGTGATGATGACAACGTTGACAACGAGGAAGATGACGGAGCAGAAGAAGAGGAAGGTGTAGAAGAGGAGGAGGAGGAAGAGGAACGTCCAGTACGCAAACGTCGTCCCAGCTCCAGTAGCAGCAGCAACAGCAGTAATAAAAACAAGAATAAGAAGAAGAATACTGAGAAGAAACGTAACACCAACAAGGATCGTGACGAGAAACGTAAACGTCCCGTGAAGGAAGAAAGCGAAGAAGAACCAGAAGAAGACGATAATGTTACTGAAAATAAACGAAAGACCAACAAGGATCGTAACGAAAAACGTAAACGTCCCGTAAAGGAAGAAAGCGAAGAAGAACTAGAAGACGACGATGATATTGCTGAGGTCAATGATTTCATCGAAGATTATGAAGATGCGCTAAATAATGACTTCTTCTTTGGCAAGGGACATGGCTCGACAAAACGTTCCCAGACTCAACAAGGTTTCATCCAATTGGGTCAACAAAATTTGATCGATCAAATCCGTCAATTGACCAGGGGACAAACTGTCCAAGAATCTGGATCTGGTATTCGCAAAGTTTCTTCAACGAAACAAACCCGCCCTCAAGCCACCTTGATTATTAATCGCAATGGACAGACTGTTTTCATTGGTCCTGAACCCGTTGAATTTACATCAAGCGGTAATCACAAGGTTTCGCAGTCCACCACATCATCTGCCAGTTCCAACCGCCGTCCTGGCTACAATTATCCCCAACCACCATTGACTGTGCCCTTGAGACGTAAGGGACAACCCACCCAGTACATAACTATTCCCTGGAGCCAGTTGGGTATTTCAACACCCAGCAATTTGGTTTCGGTGACCGATGGCATTCAAACTCAACCCTTGATTTTGAACATTCCCCAAAGTGCCTTGGAGGCTATGCAAAACCCTAGACCCAGCAAGAATAAGAAACCCATAATTACTTCAGATGCTGTGCCATTGTTGGCCGAAGCCTCCCTAATGGATGTTTTCAAGCCACCACAAATTCCACCAGCACGTACTCCCTCGGCTACCAAGAACTCCTTCAGGACCTCCTCCTCTTCGTCATCATCATCGGTAAAACCCGTTATCATCACAACCAAAACAAAACAACGTATCCGTCCAGGTACAATCGTAGAGAAAGCTCCCGAAGTGACTGAAATGGAAAATCAAAAGGAAGAGAAACAACAGGAAGCAGATCAAGAAGAAACTCAGTTCATTGTTATCGGTGATGATGGTGAACAGGGTTTGGGTCGTCAAGCCTATGCCCGTCTGAATGCTGCTCGTAAATATCACGCTTTAAATCCTTATTACCACATCATTCAAGGTCAACCAATTAATTTGCGTCGTGGACGTGATTTGGAGATGGGAGGCGAAATGAAAATGGAAGAAGTTGTCGCCGATAAAATGGAAGAACCTTTAAAGATGGAAGATGTAGAACCAGTTGAGAAAACTGACGGTGTTATGATGATGATGGAGGAACCTTTCATGATGATGGAACCAGAAATGATGATGCAAAAGGAAGAAAAAATGATGGTGCAAGAACCAATGATGATGCCTGAAGATAAAATGGAAGTGCCAGTTGAGATGAAAGAACCTGCCATGGTTGAGGGAAGACATGCTGCCGTTGAGAAACAAGAAGAGATGATGAAGGAGGAAGTCACGATGATGGAAGAACCTGTCATGAAAAACAAACAAGTTATGATGATGGAAGAACCAGTTATGATGAAGAAAGATGTTATGGTTGAGGAACCCATGATGGAAGACAAAATAGCTCCCGTCGTCCAAGAGGCACCAGCAGTAACTCCAATGACCCAGGTTGGCGAACAGTTAATACCCGTACAAATTGTCACTGCCGAATCGGATATCATGAAAAGCTCTGAAGCTGTAGTCGATGACACCAAACCCGAAGAAGCCAAATCTGAATAGTAAGCATTATTTCTTTACCTTAAGGAAATAAATAATATGTTAAGAGCGATCGAATAAGGTTTTTAATGATAAGAAGTATTAATAAAACGAAAAATAATAATAATATTAATTAAAAAAAAACAAACATTAATATTTATTTTGCACTGGGATTAACTACATCGGGGAATGAAAACGAAAAACCAGGAAAATAATTTGAGCATGATTTGTAAGCTTTGAGTTTAAATTTTAGTTCTGTTGATTTTGGGGATTCTAAAAGTGGCAGTATTTTTGTGTCACCATTTGGAAAATAACACACTTTTTCCTTCAAAACCTGGAAAATATATATATATATATTTATTTTCTCTGGAATTTCTAAATTTTTCACTCGATAACTGTTTTCTAATAATAGCATTCTGATCATGCCAATTGGCCCATTGGATACATAAATCCCCTCGGGGCAACGTAGTTAAATGCAAAATACATGTTGCCGTTTTGCAAAATCAAACTTTCGGAGCATTGACCTCTTCATTGTTAAATTTCTCCACTCTGACCTCTTAATGAACTTTCTTTTATGAGACATTAACATCAATAATCGCTAGGTGAACAGCTAATTAGGTTTACTTATAACAACAGGCTTTTAATCAAAACATCCAAAAATATTAGTAAAACAATTTGTTTTAAATTAAAAAAAAAAATTCCCAGAAACCGATAACAACAACAACTGTACCTTAGCCCCGTTGTTGGATACAACGGTATCAACAACTTCACACATAACCTCTCAGCATAACATAGGTATAATGATTATCATTATTGCTGTTCTTGTTGTTGTTGTTTATTTTCAAATTATTTAAATTAGCTTCAAAATAGCTCTTGATTAATGATTAGGTCTTTTTTTAACAAACTTCAGTTCGTCTTCACCAACCTAAACGCGATTCACTCATCTTCGTGTGTTTTGTAAAATATTTTGCCATACAAAACGGATTGTTGACCCCTGGATTTGTGACACCAAAACACATCTAAACGATGATGAAGAAGAAGAAGAAGCTAATGATATATATCATAACGGTGAATTGTTACTTGGAATTATTTCTGAAAACAAAACAGAAATGCCAACAAGTGTTAGAATATGTGTCAATATGTTGATGCGATCATTATCATCATAATACATATACATAGGTATAAATGTATGAAGATAATTTCTGTGAAGAATACACATTTGCCCTCTTCAAAAAGAATACATAATGATGGCGATGATGATCATCATGGTTCGTCTAACAGAACTTTTTCACACAACAAACAGTAATTTCAATGGAATACAATAGGGTCATCACATACCGACCATCCATTGTGATTTGTGTAGAGCACCCTATTGTTTTCCCTATATTTTGCTATGTTTTACAAGACATTGTTTTCCTTTTCATGTAAACATTCACTTCCCTTTTAAAACGAATAAAAATCTATCAGCTTAAATCATGTAATTTACATAAAAAAGAAATCAAATCTATATGAGAATGTGAAAGTTAATAATTTGCTATCATCAGCTTTAGAATTTTTAGCATGTTCTAGATGTTCATTAGGGTGGGCGACATCAGTACAAATAAAAAAAATATAGTGGCATGTGTCATTTTTGCCCACCTAAAATATGTAATTTTCGCATTTGTACTGGTCTTCAGTTAATTATACTCTCCAACATAAGATGGAGTGTATATTAGATTTGTCATTCTGTTTGCAACACCTCGAAATATTCACCAGAGACCCCACTAAGTATATCAATTACTGATCAGAATAAAACTCTGATATTGTTTTCTACTTGGTCTTTCCATCTAATTCGTGGCCTTCCCCTTCTACGGGAACCATCAGTAGGCTCATTTTTATATGCCTTTTGAGCTGGGGCATCTTCATTCATCCGCACAACATGGCCTAGCCACCGTAGTCGCTGCAGCTCAATACGACTGACTATGTCGATGTCCGCGTATAAATTGTAGAGCTCGTGGTTCATTCGTCGCCGATATTCACCGTCGACGCAGATCGGCCCGTAGATCTTTCGGAGAATTTTTCTCTCAAACACCCCAAGCGCTGCCTCATCTGCTTGCGCAAGTACCCATGCTTCTGATCCATATAATAGCACGGGTAGTATCAGCGTCCTGTAAAGTGTGAGTTTGGTCTGGCGAGAGGTGGCCTTGTTTCTAAACTGCTTACTTAGACCATAGTAACATCTGTTGGCCATCACAATCCTTCTCCGAATTTCAAAACTGATATTATTCGTTTTATTTATGGAGGTACCAAAGTATATAAAATCTTTGACCTCGAAGCAGTAGTTCTCAAGTTCCACAGTTGGTCCGAGTCTACTGGACGTCTTGCGCGTTGATACCATCAGCTTGGTCTTCTCGTCGTTTACTGCCAGACCCACTTTGGCAGACTCCTTTTCAATTTGTTCAAAGGTGGCTGTTACCGCTCGCAATGTTCGACCCATTATATCGATGTCGTCGGCGTAGGCGAGTAACTGATGTTGTTTGGTGTACAGAGTGTCATTTCTGTTCACCTTTGCGTCTCGTATGACCTTTTCCAGTAGGATGTTAAAAAGATCACACGACAAACTGTCACCTTGTCTGAATCCTCGTTCGATATTGAAGGGCTCCGATAGGTCCTTTCCTTCTTTAACGGCTGACCTTGTGCCACTTAAAGTTATCCTGCATAGCCGTATTAATTTTGCAGGAATGCTGAACGCAGACATGGCTTTAAACACCTCTGAACGGATAGGGCTGTCGAATGCGGCTTTATAGTCGACAAATAGGTGGTATGTGTCGATGTGTTTTTCGTGGGTCTTTTCCAGGATTTGGCGCAGAGTGAAAATCTTGTCAATGGTGGATTTGCCAGGTCTGATGCCGCATTGGTATGGTCCGATGATGTCATTGACCATTGGCTTCAATCGTTCACACAGCACACTGGATAGCACTTTATACAGGAGGATGTGCCTGCACCAAAGCCTTCGGTCTGGTTTTTGTGCACGGGACAAATCTTCATCGCCACTATTTGATACTAGTAGCTTTTCTGATGCTCCTGTAGATCTCAACACGCTGTCTGTATCTGTCACCAGGTTTTTCTCTACAGGAGGATGTGCCTGCACCAAAGCCTTCTTGGTGTTTTACTCGTTGGTAAAATTTCCGGACTTCCTCTCTCCTGTACATCTCGATTTGCTCACGCTCACGTTTTTCTTGTTCTTTCTTCTTTTTTCTGAAAACACGTTTCTCCTCTCTCGTTTTTCGATAATTCTCCATCACGTTACGTCTTGCTACTGTCTGCAGGGTTGCCCTATACGCTGCGTTTTTCACATCATGGGTTTCTTGGTGGTGGTTTTTGGTACCCAATTGTTCTTTTTGCTGCAGTTAGTAGGGAGTGGGCAATTCTTTGCCATTGTGCTTCTATATTATTATCGGGACAAGAAGTGCTTTCTTCAAGCAGATGGGTAAGTTGAGCGGAGTAGGCCTCGGCTACCTGTTGTGTTTGCAGCTTTTCGACGTCGAGTTGCCGTGTTGTATTAGATCGCACCTTTGCTGCAACATTAAGACGGGTGCGTACCTTGGCTGCCACAAGGTAATGGTCCGAATCGATATTCGCTCCTCGGATCGATCGGACGTCTAAAACACTGGATGAATGCCTTCCGTCTATCACAACATGATCAATTTGATTTCTCGTTACTTGATCAGGAGAAATCCAGGTGGCCTTGTGTATATCGAGATGCTTGAATCTGGTGCTGCTAACTACCATGTTTTGGCTGCCGCGAAGTCAATCAACCTCATGCCGTTGTCGGATGTTTCTTCATGAAGGCTGAATTTTCCGACGGTGGGGCCAAAGATATTTTCCCTTCCGATTTTTGCATTAAAATCTCCTAGCAGAATTTTAATGTCATGTCTCGTTTCATGGCAGCTATAATACAGGGCGTAATCGTCTGATTTACTTACGCCTGTCCCTTTCCATCGCATTTCCTGTAAGGCAATAATATCGGCTTTGTACTTCTTGAGTATATCCGCCAAAGCGAACACTGCCCCTGTTCTGTACAACGTGCGCACATTCCAAGTGCAGATTCGCAGATCGTGGTCCTTTATACGTTTGCGGGGGTCGTCAACATTAGGGGGGTTTGGTTTTATTTTTCTTTGCATTTTCATAGTAGGTTGGGTTTTCCGAGATTGGGCAACTAACCCGACGCCTCAACCCATTTTTTTATAGTTCTTATGGGTGAACTCGCGGCACATGTTAGCTCACTATTTCATCGGGTGATGAGAATAGCTCCCCAGGTGGCACCGCGGGGAGGTCAGTGTCCACAATTGAGATGAAAGAGGGACCAAGATAACCCTGGGCTTCGCCATGTTAAAGCCAATCAGAGCCGTTGCTTGGTATCTATCATCCCCTACGCCACCCAAAAAGTAGGTATAGTAGAAAAACGATATATTCAGTAAGAAATTGACAGGTTTTGTCTCCTTTTATATAATCCTTAAGATGTTTCTCCTTTTCATTAATAAATCTCACATTACAGCCGAAATTAATTTTGTGAGGATTGTCATCGTCAGTATAACGTAGCACAGCCATTAACACTAGAACGCCGAAGGCAGTCATTTTGACCGCTTTCCAATTTCAAGTACAAAAGCAACTGTGCATTTAATGACACTTTTTTTAAAATTTGGTGAATTTTTTTATAATAAACGTAATTCTATGAGGTACAAAAAGTCACCATATTTTAAAAAAAAAAGTCTCATTAAATGCACAGTTGCTCTTGTACTTGAAATTGGAAAGCGGTCAAAATGACCGCCTTCGGCGTTCTAGTGTTAAAGCTAGAGTACAAATTGCCATGACATGTTGCTTATATTTCAGAATTGTATGTGTTTGGTCTGATTTCAATTGATTGACATATCTATGAAGATCACATATTAAATTTTGTCCGATATATGTCAATGGTCCACCAAAGATGTCATGTATCTTCTATGGACAGGGTATTGTACGAATGAGCATTGATTTTATGTGCCCAAAGTAGTAAATGATATCATATAGTCAGCCCCGACTTTTGAACTTTCCTTATTGGTTATTATTAACAATTAACACCAAGTAATGTATTCAACGTGTTGTTTCAAAACCTTCAGACATATTGTAATAACATTATTTCATTTGAAGAATGTCTTTAAATATAAAATTTCATAAAAAAATAATTGCCGTTTTTTAAAGTTTTCATTTATATATAAAGTGATTATTAATACTCTTTCGAGTCGAGCTTGATGATCTAAGTTTTGCAATGAAAAGGAAAGCCAGGAGAAGAACCTACGTACCCACCATTATGCGACGCGTTTCGCCGTTGGTTAAGCGGCTCATCAGGCATATTGGCCTATGTGGCTTTACAAAGGTCGTACGTTGATAACTTGTATTTATTCCACCCTGATGCGAAATTTGCATATGCGAATTAAATTCAAATTTGTCAAAGTTCGACATTTGTCTTCATTCTAGGAACAGTCCATTTCAAATCAGATTTTTGTTGTAGCGATGGATAATTAATCCACACACCTACAATTGCTTCCATGGTATACACATGTATTTCATTTATAAAAATTACATAATTATCTTAAATACATAAATTGGTTTATGAGGTGATATACGAGCTAATAAACATCCATGTCAATCATCACAATTCGTCAATTTGACATTTATTAGTATTTTTATAATTTGTTTCCACCAAAATCGGATCAAATCAATAAAATCTATCTAGCTTGATAATAAAAATTCAAATAAAAATAAACTATAAAATAGCAAACACCCATCGATTGGGCACATTAATTTGCAACAGTTTTTTGCCAAATATGTTGTTCTTCTCCCCGAAATTGACGTCGATATCAAAGACATTCCAAAAATAGAAAACAAACCATTTTGTGAAAACTTCAATCAAAACCGCTAACTGGATCTCTTAATAAGCTACTTGGATCAATTAACATTCTAATGGACTACCGTTTTATTGTTTGGCTAACCTAATAATGAGTGTTTTGATGATTGGTCCATAACATATGAAAAAATATAGCTAGCCATTTATCGGATTAAAAATGAATAAAGACATTTCAAATTGAATGAAAGGTGGCGGAATTTTGGCAAAGATTTTATATTTTATTCGAACGTGGATAATTGGTTTGGAATCAAGTGTATATGAGTAGTTGGCTCAAAAATAAATTTGTAACAATATTAAAAATGTTCAGTTAAGGGGTCTTTTATTATTTAAGAAATTTATATTTAAAGCATTTTCCAACGATCTTGAACTGGACAGACAAAACCTCTAATTCTCTGAACTCAGCCCACAAAACCTTAATTTTGATGGGAACTCATTGATGGTAGTAAATTAAATTGTTTTATAACTCCCACCACATAACGAATATATATTATTTTATGACTGATATATGACCTGATTACTATGAGTTCTTAATAACTGTAACCCCATCTGAAAACAACCTCTATCTAATTAAGTAAACCCAAAAATATCTCCAACAGCCGACAAAAAAACAAGAATACTAAACAAATGATAATAAATTATGCCGGCACAATTGTGGATTGCTTAGAATGAACATCCAAACAAACAATTCAAATCATAATCAAATGGCATTTGTTCTGAAAACAAACAATTACTTGGCAATCTATGTCAAAAGACAACAAAACTGAATAACAACAACAGCATTAAAGACACCCTTAGCCAAATTACATAGCAACAACAGACGATTGTTGTTGTTGTCGTCAATGGCATATTCTTCGCGTATCAAAACCCATCTAGGCCCAAAGTCATATATTATTATAATAAGGTTAAAGACCTCTGCTACTCCAGCCAACAAGCCGGCTTTGCTTTGCGCAAGCGCCCATTCTTGACCGCAGCCTCTGGCATGTTGGCAATTATGTCAAGTAGAACAGAACCCAAGAGTAAAAAAAAAACCCCAGCAATGGGGTGATGATGATGAACACAGGTTAGACGAAGAAAATTAAACGAGCAAAGAAAATAACAGTTCGCTGTGGACTCCCATATTTGAATTGATAATCATAACTACCGCCAAACAGTCATATAAAATAGGGAGGTTGATATGTAATGTTTGGGAAATGTTGGTTGCTGTTTGAAATTGAAATAATAACTCATATAATTTAATGAATAATATTATAAATGAAAATAGAAATCTGTTTAAAATAATATTTTTATACACTTCACCACACTGTGGTACAGGGTATTATGTCTTTGTGCATATGTTTGTAACAGGCAAAAGGAATCGAGATAGACCCATAGTTCCTTTTGAGAATATGCATAGAATCACTTTCTGAGTCGATTTATGCATGTCCGTCCGTCTGTTGGTGTTAAATTGTAATCAAAGTACAGGTCGCATTTATAATCCGATTTGGATGAAATTTGGCACAGTTCACTTATTTGGCCCAAGGACGAACCCTATTGAAATTGGAGAAAATCGGTTCAGATTTAGATATAGCTCCCATATATAGTTTCGCCCGATTTTAGGTAAATGGAGCACCAAAGTCCTTGAAAATCAATCGATTTGCACAAAATTTGGCACAGCCTACTGAATTAAGTCTAGAATGACTTGTGCTAAGTTTCGTGGAAATCGGTTCAGATTTAGATATAGCTCCCATATATAGTTTCGCCCGATTTTAGGTAAATGGTATGTCAAAGTCCCTATATATCTTCCGATTTGCACGAAATTTGGAATAGCGTACTGGATTGAGTCTAGAATGATTTGTTTAAAATTTCTTGAAAATCGAATCAGATTTAGATATAGCTCCCATATATAGTTTCGCCCGATTTCAGGTAAATGTGTACCAAAGTCCCTGAAAACCATCCGATTTGCACGAATTTTGGCATAGCGTATTGAATTAAGTCTAGAATGACCTGTTGTATGTTTCATATTTTCGACCGATTTAATGTAAATGGTGCACCAAACACCTCATGTTTGTAATATTGACATGACATTTTGAACAAAGTACAAATTTAAGCATTTTGACATTTGCTTTAAATCGATTTACATAACTTTGTCCCATTGTAACAAACGAATGGCATGGTTATGGTCACATATTTTAGTTCATCCAATTTCATGTTAATGGCTCTTCTGTTAGGATGCATTCGTTTAATATACCCATAGTGGTGAAGGATATCATATAGTCGGCCCCGTCCGACTTTACTACTTTCCTTTAGTGGTTTATATATGGAAAATTATTGTTTTAAAAATCCATGCTTACATGCGGCCCAGTAGTGTTTTAAAAATCCACACTTACAAAGAGTAGTGTTTAAAAATCCACACTTACTTGTGCCCTTGAAAAATATTGTTTTGAAAATCTGCACTTAGTCGGGTCCCTGAAAAATATTGTTTAAAAAATCCTCCTCTTTTAACACCCCACGCGTAAAAAATAATCTTTAAAAACCCCATGCTTAAAAAATAATCATTAAAAAATCTACGCTTACTTGGGACCCTGGAAAATATTGTTTTGAAAATCCACGCTTATTTGTGTTCCTGAAAAATACTACTTTGAAAATGCACGCTTAAAAAGTAATCTTTAAAAATGCACGCTTAAAAAGTAATGTTTAAAAATCAACGCTTAACAAATTATCTTTAAAAATACAGGCTTAAAAAGTAATCTTTAAAAATCCACGCTTAAAAAATAATCTTTAAAAATCCACGCTTAAAAAGTAAATTTTAAAAATCCACGCTTAAAAAGAAATATATAAAAAACCACGCCCCAGGAAAATATTGTTTTGAAAATCCAAGCTTAAATAATAATTTCACGCCTTCTATAGGTCCATGAAAAATGTTTGGGTCCTTCAAAAATGTTTTTAAAAAATCAAAGCTTTTTTGGGTTCTTGAAAAAAAATCATTGAAAAATCCACGCTTATTTGGTCCTGGTAGAAATCCAATATTTTGATCGAGCTGTATTGATATTGGTATTGATGGTTGAACAACATTTTAGATGCCGTATAACGGTAGCGAACAATGTTAGTTATTTTAATTGTTTTTAACTAAAAAAAAATAAAAATAATTAGCATGGAATCTAAAAATTCTATACTAAATTTTAAAATTGTAGGTCCTTGGAAACAAAAAAGGACATACTTATTAAAAACCTGTACAAAAATGTTATACAGTATATATTGTTATATTACACCACACTCATCATACCACCATCGTACTTCGACGATCATATGAATGCATAATCCAATGATAGAAATTAACAATGGTCACCTGAAACCAAAAAAATAAAAAAAAAACAGACAACAGAACTCATGAAAAGAAAGTCAAGTGTTAAGATTCATGCTCATTAGATATTCGCTAGTTAAGATGTTCTAAGCTAAGCGAGTTCGAATTGAGAAAATGAAATTTCACCAAACTTTTGCGGTTTGCCAAAGCTATTGTAATAAAGTTCATATAAAAACCGACAATAGTTCTAAGTCTTCATTCTGAATTTATACGCTAACAATTAAAGAAGACTTCTAGAGAGAGTGTGGGAGCATTTGAAACAAAAGGACATACACGACAGAGAAAGAAACGAAAAAAATGAAATTTACATTGGTACTATTGCTGGCCATTGGCCTGGCAATGGCATTGGCAGGTTGGTTTTGAAAAAATACAGCAACAATAAATAGAAATGATGTATAAATATTTTAATTATTTTTATTTTTTTAATTAGAACCCGAACCCAAACAACAATTGCCCCGTGGTGTTATCCACCAAATCAAGGCTGGTGTTGCCGGACCAAATCCTTATATTTTCTTAACCGTCCCACATGGTCGTTCTCAAGTGATCCAGGGTTTTGAAGTTGTTGAGGGTGATGATGATGATGACGAAGTGGAAAAAATCTCAAAAATTGAAAACCACGATGAAGAAGAGATGGAGGACGAAGATGAGGAAGATAATGTCGATGATGACGAGATGGAAGATAACATGCCACAGCATGATGACGATGATGATGAAGAAGATGATGATATGATCCTTGATGTCATGAAAAATATCGACACCAAGACCCAGGTGAGAAAAACCCAACAAGTTTCGTTGCCTCTGAAAAATGGCCGCAATACCCAGATGATGGTGTCCCGTGAAAATGCTGGAGCCATTATGGTGCCCGATGAAATCATCGAAATTGAAGGCCAAAGTGTTATCGACGAAAAGACCGGTAAGCCAGCCATTCTTTTGCCCCGTTCCATTTTGGACTCGATTCCCGATGGTAGTGTGGTGGCTTTAATGGAACGCCCTATTGAGGGCCGCTCGGCTGGAGAAGAACGTGCCAATCGTGTCATTGTACGCAGACGTCGCAGGGGTTCCCGCCGCAATGTCAAGCGTGGCCGTCGTGGCAACCGCCGTAGGGTGGTAAACCGCAGACGTGGTGGCAACCGTAGACGTCGCAATGGCAACCGCGTGCGTGTTGTACGTGTGAATGGCAATCGTCGCCGTGTCATACGAGGTAATCGCCGTCGTCGTGTCATCCGTGTTTAAGACCAAGAAAGATACCTGAGGCAGGATATCTGCCTAACATCTAGCATTACTAGTATTACATAGTTCTTAGTCTATATTCTATTTTACGCTTCCCCTCTCTAGATAACGGCTTCTAATGGCTAATACGTTTAGGTTAAACGAACAAAAAAAGACAACAACAAATAAAAATAACAACAAAAACCAACATTTAATTTTGATGAATATCATGGGGTAACTAATTTGCCATTCATTAGACATGGCCAGCGTTTTGGAGAAAGTCAGGTCAGGGTACAAAGTTGGGGGGTTATTTCGAAGAAAGGCAACAAAAACAAAGGGCACATCGGCATTTGAAATTATGAGCCACGGATTCGAACGCGATACAGTTATATTCGACAACTTTCTTTGGCAAATTGTTCGTTTTCTTTTCTTGCCAATTGTGGTGTTGTTGCTTTTCTAGCCAAAAGATTTGTTTGGTTCGATTTAAATCTTTGCAAGCATTCAAAGTGGTTTCATAACTTCACTGACAGTCATCTTTGGCGTCGTTGATAATCTTTAGCTGTTTGTTTGCTAAGAATTCGGCTCGTTATGTTAATGATGTTGGTTGGATATTCCCCATCCAAATTACAAGAGAGCCGATATAAACTCCAACGTTATCAGTTCGCAACGCATTGCTTGACCGCTGATGTCAAGCGTAAAATCTGTCTGTTGATTTTTGGTGTTTTATTTCATTTTGAAATAAAATGAAATTTGTGTATATTTTAACGGTGGCCCTGTGTGCCCTAACCGTATTAACTCGTCCAACGGTGGCAGGTAAAATTCTAGAACATTCCAAGGGTTTACGATCTATTTAAGTAAGAACATTTTCCACCTATGCAGATTCTCAAGCGTCCAATGTACCACAAGAAAAGCATGAAGAGCCTTTGGAATCCAAACTTCTCAACGAAATTGAATCTCATGACGAAACATTAGAAGATGATGCCGACGAAGATGTTGTCACTGAAACTGATAACAGTAAGCCCCAAGAAAATGTAGCCTTAAATGGTTTTGAAATTACAGAAAAAGACATTGAACAATTCAAAGAGCCTGGCATGGTAAGTTCTTCAGCTAGCCGGTAACAACAACAACACAATACTGTGGAAATTTTCCCTAATTTTCTAGCAACGCTTGGCTCGTGAACTTCGCGAATTCCATAACAACAACTTGTTACAACGCAGTAATAGTCAATTGGCCAAACACGATGATGCTGAAGATGAGGTCATTTCCGAAGCTCGGGCTGTACGCAGACGTCAACGTGTGCGCAGACGCAGAGTCAACAATGGAATTCGTCGTGTCAACGGTAATCGTAACAGACAAGTGAACAGACGTAGACAAAACAATCGTCGCAAGCTGAACAAACGTAATGGTGTTCGCCGTCCAAACAAGAACAAAAACAACAAGAAGAAATTCAAAGCAAAAAAAGCCAAAAGAGGAAATCGCAACAAAAATGGCAAACGCCGTGTAAATCAACGCAAGGGTAACAAGAAGAAAAACTGGAATCGTAATGGTGTCAGGAAAAATCAAAACCGAAGAAACCGTCGTAATGGTTCCCAAAAGAGGAGGCGAGTAACTAAAAAACAAACTCATGGACCCCGTAAATCGGATAACGAAAAAATGGAACATACCGCTGACGAAACCAAAGATCAACAAAAAGTCACAGGAACTGAAATGAAATCAGAAACACCTGTGAAGGAAAATACTGAATCGTAATCGGCTTATGTTGGAATGCATTGCGGGCAAATGATCTATAACTGATAGAATAAGTTATTTATTAATGTTTTTTATTTATTAAATAAACAATTGAATTTTTATCGATGATTATTTTAAGGGTTTGAAGAAAATTATGGCAGTTTACTGAAGTAAATAACTTCAAATTAATGGATTGAATGAAATTCGTATTGATTCTTATACCCTCAGCCTTACTATTAATGAGGGTATTTAAAGAAAATGCGGCTAAAGCCGCCAAAATTCCGTAAATGGTCAGGTTATATGGGAGCTATATCAAATTATGGACTGATACTTTTTATTTCGGTATGAAGATTTGACACCCAATGATAATCCAATATATCATATTAGAGCTAATAAGGTGGGAAAAATTGTCCAAAGTCCCAAAATATCGAATAATGGATGGTACCGTTCTATGGGGGTTAGTCCGAAATATAACGTTGGGGAAAAAGAAATCCATTATTATTACTACTTACTTTTTTTAAATGGTTTAAAACAGTTTTATGGTTGATTTTTAGCTTCTGGGCGATATTACAACTGCTAACATGCCGGTCAACTTCGATCATTTCTCCGATTTTATCGACAATTTTCTATAGTATTTATTTTTTTAATATTTTATTTTACAAAATTAATATACTCACCACCATCTTCACATTTTATTATATACACTTTGTTTTCAGGTCAATCGGTTTTTTATGTTGTTTTAGAATTTCTACTTGCAGATTTCTATAACAAAAGCAAAATTCGAGAATATCAAAATTTTTACTTTTGGCCAAAGAATTTGTCATTTGGGACCAAAGTGTATAGTGCGGTGGTTCCGACATTCCCATGTTGTCATCGCCCTTTTCCTCTTTAGCATGGTGCTTATTCAGAAAACCTTATGGCTATAAAACAAATAAATTATATATTATGAAGAACTTTCGGAATTATTTACCAGAAATATATCACTTTAGGCTAAACACTTTCAGAACATATATTCAGCAGAGGCAGATTCGAATCGCATACTCGCTGTATAGACAACAAACCCGATATTGTTCTACCTTCAGACCATAACCTCGATTTTGTGTCAAGGTGCAATAACTATATCGAAACTATGGAATCCAAAACACTTTTCCACGAAAGAGTATTTCAATTATGTGATGTCGATATAAATTTGACATGTTGAATATCCTTCAAAAATATATACATAACGTAACGTTTGTCAGATAATACTTGACAATGCATAACGTTTTAAAATTACCGAAAATATTTGGAAATACAAATGTAAGTTAAGTACCTATTTTATGATTGCCGTTTTTTCTGTGGAGGCTGACATATGCGTCTCAACCAACTATGCTACTATCGTACTGAAGTAACCTCTCAATTGTATATCGGATATGGGTTATACGTACATATTTACAAATATCTACCTATCTACCAGTACCACACAAATATATATATCGTCGTCTAAAATGCAAAAAGGCGTAACTAACAAAAAATTGAAAATTGACTTTTTGAATGAATATTGTGAATGTCAATAAACTACATGTGTTGACAAAGTTTTACACGTCTGCGGTCAAAAAAGGACCTTCTATTAACAAAAAACAAAAAGACGTAACTACAAGTGGGTTTATTTGATAAATGCAAAAAGGCGTAACTAACAACAAATTCACGTTTTTACTTAATTGTTATGACTGCTATTAAACTAAATTTGTTAAAAAAAAATAGTCTATTATTCGTCATATGCAATATCACCCTGCCGGGCATACTTTTTTGACATGTTTATAGTTTTCATCCAAAACAGTTTTTTGCTTCTCCTATACAATTATGCTTTTGTAAGTTACGCCTTCGTCGGACAAAAATAATTCAAGGTCATGTTTCGAATAGTGGTTGTATAATGGTTATAGGTAGGTATAGGTTCTGACTCTATATAAGAAATATGTATATATTCTTGAAGAAAATATTCACTGACGATCTAGCCATGTCCGTTTATTGGGTAGCAAAACTCGCTTCTAAAAATTGTAAACATTGGCAGTAATTCTTATTATCTCCCAATTTAGATTAGGCGAGTTTACTTGCGGCAAATTTTTGACTGTAGGAGAGAGGGGCAAGGGAAATAGAAATGGAAAAAATTGTTCGTACCGACAATTTTCTGGCAATTCGTTTTGTGTATTTCGTATTTGTTGACATTTCATATTTATTTAAATGTGAAAAAAACTATTGACATCAAATGAAAAAAAAAATATTTTCGAAATCGAATTTCCTTGTATAGACGCATGAAGCAAGTTCAAAAGGAAACGATAATAATTGCCGCAAGTAAACTCGCCTAATATAAATCAGGACTATGCTCTTAAACTTTTACCAGTTTTTTTTTTTAATGGTCAACTTTTTAGGGTATGTATATTGACCTATATAACACTATCTCCGTTTTGGTATTTTAAGGTTTTCGAAGGGTTTCAAACAGAATTGACTGCAGAATGATATTTCGAGTTCTCTTGGGGGTTGTCGATTTCGATCGATCGACAAGATGTTGATAAAATCAGTATATGTTTGGTTCAAATCGTTTTGGTTCTGACCTCCACCCCGTAGGTTTTATAGCGCGAATAGAATTCTAAAAAAACTTAAAATATAACTGGGAGCCATGTAGAATCATGCTATTCAAACCCTCAAAATACCACAAATGAGGCGGTATTCTGACATTTATTCAATAGGAAACCAACTAACAATTTTATCGCTAGTGCATTAAAAATGGATTTAAATTGTACGGTCACAAAATATGTATATAATATCCATCATGGGACAAAACATGATATCTTAAACAAATCAATAAATAAGTAAAACTGTTAAAAATATTAAAAAAAATCTAATATCAAAACCTAACATCAATAAATAAGTAAAACTATTAAGAAATATTAAAAAAAAACCTAATATCATAGCCCAAGGCATGAATATGAAATGTATCAGTCAACGAAACAGAATTCTACTCATAGGCCGATACTGAATTTGCATAACCTCTGTAAACTTTCAAATGTATATCTTTTCGCTCAAGAGAGAAAGAAAAAAAACATTTACAACTAATTAATAATTTCATTGATTTGCTATGGCTTTCTTAAATTTAACTCTTTTTGTTTTTGCTAATAACAATAGTTGTATTTTCGTAACTACGAAGATGATCCGTCAAATCGTACATTAGTTATTAACTTCTTTCCATATCCAAAATGAAACAAACTCAAATTGATTGGTTGATTAATGATGACCGCCAGCCATCATTTTGTGTCCGCAGAATTATGACATACCGCTTGCTGGCCGCCTAGCTTTCTTTACGGTGAAAATCAATCACGGGCCCAAGAAATGATGTGAAAATGATGGATTTGGGGAAAAGAAAAGACCTAAATTAACTACAGAAAAATATATAAAATCTGTAAAGAACGATTCTGGCATCAGTCAGTTCCAGTGTGTCAAATGTTAACAACTCTTTAGATATTTGTAATATTTAGACATCGACAAAAATCGGGAACATGAATTACAAACAATTGCTGTGTGCACTGCTGTTGTGCACAGCCGTGATCCTTCCAGCGGCAGGCAAGTATACCCAACCTCTGCTTAACCTCTTACGCAAATAGCCAACAATTTCCCCTTACTTTTATAGCGGCCAATCCTCGCAAAAATGAACGCCGTTCGGCTGATAGTGGGCCCAATAACCCACGTATATATCCCGAATTTTGGAATATGATTGGCAAAGGTTCGACAACTACAACCACTGTCGCTCCAACAACCACATCAGTAACTACACCAACAACTGTTCCAACGACACCAACAACCACGTCTCCAACGACACCCACAACACCAACCACCACGTCTCCAACGTCGCCGACCACGCCCACTACGCCTACATCTCCAACATCGCCAACAGGTACAGGTGCATCGCCCACAGGTGCATCACCCACTGGCGCATCACCCACTGGTGCATCGCCCACAGGTGCATCTCCCACAGGTGCATCGCCCACAGGTGCATCTCCCACTGGTGCATCACCCACAGGTGCATCACCCACTGGAGCTTCACCCACAGGTGCTTCACCCACTGGTGCATCGCCCACAGGTGGATCGCCCACTGCACGATATATTCTCAATGACATCGATAATACTGATGAAGAAGCCAACGACGACGACGATGATGACACCGAATACGATGATGTGAATGATAATGACGACGATGGTGATGATGGCACCAAAGGACTCTTGGCAAACAATAATAATGATGACGACGATGAACCAGCCGGTCGCCAAGCCGGCTCTCCCATGATTAGACGTCGCAATGTTCAACTTAGACGTGAGAGACAACAACACCGTCGTACCTTGCTGCAAGCACGTCGTCGCCGAATCAATCTGCGAAGAAATGTCGTAAGAAGTCGCTCCGCCCAACGTCAAAATCGCATTCGTCGGCTAAATAAACTTCGAACTCGGCGCTTCAGACAGAAGTTAAGGAAGCAAAAGCAACGAATTCGTCGCCAGCGGGCCAGAAGACGTCGTTTGAGGGCTAAACGTCGCAAGACTATGCGCCGTAGGCAAAGGCAACGTAGATTGCGTAAAATGCGACGACAGAGGCGTAGACGTCAACTCATGCGTAGAATTCGCCTAAAGAGGGCTGCCAAGCAAAGGCAACGACAATTGCGTAGATTCAGACGTCGTACTCCAGGTCGCAATCGTATTGTCCGAATCAATGTATAGAAAAAAAAATTGCTGCGAAATAAATGAATTGACTTGACACACAAACAGCATTGTATTGTATTAAAAATTGATTTAATTTTTTTTAAATTTTAAAATATTTTTGGATATCTCATACATATTATGGATCTTAGTGAATTTTCTTCGATTTAGCCATGCCCGCTCCACTATAGTGTTTGGTATTAACAATGAGATATATCGATTCACATTTTAATATAGGGCGCACATAAAGATATAATGTTCATATAGCTTGCATTTGCATGGTCTCACTTATATTTTCCATTATCACAAAAAATGAATGAAATATTACTGCCTGATTTCATGTTGATCCAATTGAAGGCTAACCTATATGATTGTAGTTTGATATTTCGGGCTTTTACATGGAGAGTAAATTCGTCATTGAAAAAATGTGCAATATTTTCTGATATTGCTCCCACAATTTGTATTATACAAACCGCATGTTCCTCTCGAAGTGGTTATATTGGTGTTTGGGAATTTCACCGTTTTGACATGATCCACATATATAAAAATCCTGCCCGCTTTAAGTTTCTATCCCCATTGCAAGGCAAAGTGACAGTAGTTTCGTATTTCGTATTTCTCAGAATAATTAAAAAAAACAGTAAGGAAAGTAGTAAAGTGGGATTGGACCGACGATAGTCTACATATGTATCCTAACAGATGTCACCTTTTTGAAAGAATATTGACACGAAATTTATCGAACTAAACTATGTGATAGTTCGAAATTTTATATAGAAGCCATGCTATATCTATATCTGAACCGATTTCAAGGAAACTTGCCAGAGATAAATTTATATTAACTTCAGTACGTTGAGTCAATGCCCCAGCTCAAAAAGCATATAAAAATGAGCCTACTGATGGTTTCCGTAGAAGGGGAAGGCCACGAATTAGATGGAAAGACCAAGTAGAAAACAACATCTTGGAACGTGGTCTTCCAAATTGGTGGACTTGCGCACAAGACCGACGCGCTTGGAAATCTTTTATAAGCTCGGCTTATGGAACAACCGTTCTGTAACAAGGCCTAGCTATGGATCTTTAGTACACCGTTTACTTAAAATCGGACAAATATATATATATATATATATATATAAGGGGTGTATGTAAATATGAACTGATTCACTCAGTACGCTATACCAAAATTCGTGCAAACCGAAGTATATATGTGGACTTTATCTTAAATCGAACGAAAATATATATGGAAGCTATATCTAAATCTTAACCGATGAAACTAAGCACACATTATTATAGACGCAATTCAGTACGCTATGCCAAATTTCGTGCAAATCGAAAGATTGTAGGGACTTTAGTTCTCCATTTACATAAAATTGGACAAAAGTATATATGGGTGCTATATATAAATATGAACCAATTTTCACGAAACTTTGCACACATTATTCTAGACTATACCAAATTTATGGGAGAAGATATATAGGGACTTTGGCGCACCATTTACATTAAATCGGACGAAAATATTTGTGGGAGCTATATCTAAATCTATACCGATTTTTCAATAGGGTTCATCCTTGGACCAATTCGATTCAAAAATTAGACCTGTACTTTGTTTACAATTTAACATCATCAGAGGGACGGATGATCAGGAAGGTTCTGCTATGGGACTGAAAGAGGATTATTTATTATGAGTTGCTTCCATACGCTAAATCCTAATCTCTACTGCCAACAACTGTACCCTTTGACAGAAATAGGAATTGACGAAAATGGCCAGAATTGGCCAACAGGAGAGGTGTCGTGTTCCACCAAAACAACGCCGCAAAGTAACTATGGGTCTGTATAACTTTTATGCTAAACCACCAGATTTTTTCCTTCCCAAAGGCTTTGAAATGACTCACTAAAATATAATAAAATTTTGGAATTATTAGTTGCGGTTTCTACGTAGTTTAGCACCGATTCATCGGCATATTTCGAAAAAAAATTACTGCACTTGTGCATTACAGAGCGTATCGTCCAAGTTTGCTATAATGGTTCTAAACAGAAAACATATTCCTAAAACTATTACTCGCTTTGTGGCATTGCTTTGATTTAAACCGTTTCTTTTCGGTTAAATGATTTTTCTGTGTCAAATTTAATAGGTTGATTCCAAAGGGATATATTAGGTTTGTACTTAGGACACATGACTACATAAATAAATCCAAATACTCAATTCCGTTGATTCATGCTTATAATTTACGACTTTATTTTCGATAAGCCATATTCGTGGTGAAGTGGAGTTGTGATATGACACATATATCGACCGGTCATACAACAATGTATATATATTGAAGGAAGCAACGAAACAGAGTATACAAACGATCGTTCTCCTAACAAATTGGTTAATCTTTTTAGCCAAATCTCTGTTAACATACATACTCATACAAATATAAATTATGAAACTTAATATCATAGCCCAAGGCATGAATGTGAATTGTATCAATCAATACAACAGCAAATTCTCCGCATAGGCCGATACTGAATTTGCATAAACCCTTTACCCTTTCAAAATTGATCTTTCGCATAAGAGGGAAAAAACATTAAATTTTTTTAAACAACTAATTAATAATTTCATTGATTTGGCATGGCTTTCTTTTCCTTCATTTTTTGATTCTAATAGAAACTAATTTCGTATTTTTGTAACCACGAAGATGATCCGTCAAATCTCACGTTAGTTAATAACTCTTTCCATAGCAAAATATGTACAAAGAACACAAATTGATCGGTTGATTAATGATGACCGCCAGCCATCATTTCGTGTCAGTAGAACTATGACATACCGCTAGCTGGCTGCCTAGCTTTCTTTACGTTGAAAATCAATCACCGGAGTGAGGAATGATGTGAAAATGATGGATTTGTGGAAAGAAAAGACCTAAATTAACTACAGAAATATATATAAGGTGTAAAGAACTATTCTGACATCAGTCAGTTTCAGAGTGTCAAATGTTAGCAACAGTTTAGACATTTGCAATATTTGAATATCGGTAAAAACTTGGGAACATGAATTACAAGCAACTGCTGTGTGCACTGCTGTTGTGCACAGCCGTGGTCCTTCGACCCACAGGTATGTACATCCTTCTTGTGAAATACATACCGAAAATATCCTATAATTCCCTCTTTATTTTACAGCGGCCAATGGCGTGAACCGAGCAAATCCTCGCAACAAATTGCATCAGAACAATCAACCCCGTTCGGCTGATAGTGAGCAAAATAACCCACGTATATATCCAGAATTTTGGAATAAAATTGGCAAAGGGTCGACAACTACAACCACTGTCGCTCCAACAACCACATCAGTAACTACACCAACAACTGTTCCAACGACACCAACAACCACGTCTCCAACGACACCCACAACACCAACTACCACAAGTCCAACGTCACCCACAACGACTACGCCTACAACTGCAACTACGGCAACAACAGGTACTGGTGCATCACCTACAGGTACTGGAGCCTCACCCACTGGTGCATCACCCACTGGGGCATCACCCACTGGGGCCTCACCTACTGGTGCATCACCTACTGGTGCATCGCCCACTGGAGCATCACCCACTGGAGCTTCACCCACTGGTGCATCACCTACTGGTGCATCACCCACTGGTGCATCGCCCACTGGTGGATCACCAACCGCTCGTCAATTAGACGTTAGTGAAGACGACTCTGCAGTTATTCGTGGCAGTGACCTGGAAAAGCATAGATCAAGCAAATATGATGAAATCGACGATGATGACGACGACGACGAAGATGATGACGATGATGAATATGACAATGATGACACCGACGCTGAAGAGGAAAACTACAGTGTTGCGAACAAAGGATCGCGACAAGTTGCCAACTATAACAATTTTAACAACAGGAGAATCATGCAACGCATCCAACGTGAACGTCGTATACGCCGCCGCCAAAGGAATATTGCCCGACGCCGCTATATACAGCAGAGACGATCGATTCAGAGAAGAAGAAGAATTGAAAGAAATCAACGGATTCGCCGATTAACAGTAAAACAGATCCAACGTCGTAGGCAAAGGATTTTCGAGACAATTGCCAGGCGACGTCGCCGCAATCAAAGGAGACTTCGCATGCAAGCTAGACGCCGACGTTTACGTCAGCGCAGACTAAGGCGACGCAAGCGAATGCAAAGAAGAAGACGCATGCGTAGATTCCGCCGCATGCAAAGACTTCGCAGAAGACGTCAACGCATACAAAACAGACGTCGTGTGCGTCTCTTTAGATTGAGAACAACTCGTCGTGGTTGAGGATTAAGACCATAGAAATTTGAGATATTGATGATCCGATGAAATAAAGGCATAAACAAACTAGAAAAAAACAAATGTGTCGACAATGTGTTTAATTGGCCGAGGGTGGTATACGCAAAATTAGAATGGATATCATTTTAAAGGTATGTTTAAATTGTTCTTATTCTAATTAGTTTAGTTAGTTTAGGTTTTTTTTATTTTCTTTACTATTTTCTATTGACAATTAATTTTTTTTTAAAGCTTTAAATATAAATTCAATAGGGACCCCAAATAATATAAAACTTATTAAGTACATTGGAGCTATGCTTTTATTAAGATTTTAACCAAAATTCATTAAGTACTATTTGTATTTGCTCCTGCAGAATTTTGTGTTGATCGATCGTAGTGTCATTGATGAACGATATGTATGAAATTATAGTTAAATCGATTTTTACCAAACTTAGCCCACTTGTTATACCCTTCACCACACTGTGGTACAGGGTATTATGTCTTTGTACATATGTTTGTAACATGCAAAAGAACACGAGATAGACACCTGGCTACTTTTGAGAATATGCATAGAACCACTTTCTAGATAGACGGACATCTATCTGTCTGTACATGTTAAATTGTAAACAAAGTACAGGTCGCATTTATGATCCGAATTGGATGAAATTTGGCACAGCTTATTTATTTGGCCCAAGAACAAAAGCTATTGAAATTGGAAAAAATCGGTTAAGATTTAGATATAGCTTCCATATATATATTTTCGTTCGATTTAATGTAAATGGTGCTCTATAGTCCCTATATTACTTTCGATTTGCACGAAATTTGGCACAGCGTACTCAATTATGTCTAGAATGATATGTGTTCATAAATATAATCTGATCAACACAGAAAATTACAGGCGTCACCATCGACTAATACTGAAACATCATGTAAAATTTCACTTCGATCATCACGTCATTTTTGCCAGTAGTGATAAACTGACAACTATAAGAATACGTAGACCCCAGGAGTGATTTTAAAATAACTCTCATGTCCGACTCATCTCGGAGCCTTGGTCCATGATAAACATAAAAAATGCATAGTTATTCGTTCCACTTCTCGGAGTAAAAATTTATAATGTTCTGATCATAATTGTGGAATCTAAAGCGACAAGAAAAATTGACAAAATAGAACTATTTCATCCCCTAAATAGTATCCAATCATTACCCAAAACAATTGGGGCTGTTTTTGGCCAGAACCGAATCTACATGCACAATTTCGTGACGATTGGTACACACTGTGTTTACAAATTTGTGTTTAATGGACTCGATTAGATTTGTGACGATCGGTACACTAAGTGATGGGTCTAGTACCAATTTTTCGTGTTAAAAACTATAATATCAACACAAACCTATAATACCCTTACAATATAGTTTTGTAGGGTATAAACACTTTAGTGGTCGAAACGTACACCAAGCTGAAACCACATGCCTGAAAATGCGTATAGTGGAATTTGACTTTATTTGATCAATATTTGTTCTGATTTTTACTGCATTTATGTACGTCAAGCCCGAACTTTAAAATACCTTAAATCGATCTGACTTTTATGTGGCTAACATTTGGAAAATGTTGGAAAATGAGCTAGAAGTTCGAATATACCGAAAATGAAACGTGACGTGTGTAAGGGACTATGTAAAAACATGGACTAATATAGGAAATTTTCTGTGTAGAAATAGTTTCCTCACCAAAATCTCCGAATGCCAAATGTTTATAAAGGAGCTTAAATTGTATTTATATTTTTAAAAAGAATTTGTATTCATTTTTTTTTCAATATAAATTGGTACAGGGTTATCCATTTCGTGGCTTCAAAATGAAACGTAAATAAAACACATGTAATATAGTTTACCAGATACATTTTTATACCCTTCACCACACTGTGGTACAGGGTATTATGTCTTTGTGCATATGTTTGTGACAGACAAAAATAATCCCGATAGACCCATGGTTCCTTTTGAGAATATGCATAGAATAACTTTCTGAGTCGATTTATGCATGTCCGTCTGTGCGTCCGTCCGTCCATGTATTTTTGTGAACAAAGTACATGTCGCATTTATGATCCGATTTGGATGAAATTTGGCACATGTCACTTATTTGGCCCATGGACAAACCCTATTGAAATTGGAGAAAATCGGATCTCATTTAGATATAGCTCGCATACTGAATTAGGTCTTGAATGATGTGTGCTAAGTTTCGTGAAAATCGGTTAAGATTTAGATATAGCTTCCATACATAATTTCGTCAGATTTTGATTTGAAATCATGAAAATCATTCGATTTGCACGAATTTTGGCATAATGTATTTAATTAAGTCTAGAATAATGTCTACACCAACTATATATATCTACACAAAGTACTGAAATTAAAATAAATGGCAAGTTTGCTTCAAATCGGTTCGGATATAGATATATCGTAGCTTCCATATATAATTTCGACTTATTTATGTTAATGGTACACCAAATAATAAATAGGTGTCTGATTGAGATTAAATTTTAAACAGTGCAGTCATTGGGGAAGTCAATTGTCCCCTGCCTGCGTTACCAGTATACAGTCATTTCGGTAGTACAAAATGACAGTATATTTACCTAGTTACGTATATATAACAAAGTAGATTGTATAACAGTTTGGAAATTTTCAAATATTTTATTAAAATTAATACTGTATACATATCTTTATATATTAATATTTATTATAATAGAGTATTGTATACAATTATACTGTTTGATCCATCTGTGAATCCCCAATTCGCGTCTCTTTTATCGGCCTAGTGCTTTTCAAATCTGTCTCCCAGCTGATATAGGAGTCTATGAAGAGAAGATTGAGATTTAAAATTATCAAAAGTTAGAAAATTAATATGATCATCGAAAACTCACCTATAGAAAATCTCTAGAATATCTCTTGAGCATTTATTGATGTGTTTCGGACATCTATGGAGTGATACATCTTTTAGTATCGTTACGAACGATCCGATCCTAACCCTAGTGTGTTCTCTCAATCTGAAAGGTTGAAATCTTAAGAAAACCTGGAATGAAGCCCGTAGATGAATTACATCTGTCTGTGATGTGTTACAAAATCCAAAGTTACCTCAGATTTAAATGTATTTCGTTCGAATATAGAAATTCAGGTTCCACATCACATTGTATGGTACATTTCACATAGTATATCAAGAATATATTTTTGCGAAAAACAAACTTCTATTAGACTTTTTCTTTTCAAAATGTGAAAATTACTAAAAAGTCTTAACAAAATGACAAAACAATTGTTCTGTTTTGTTTTGCCTATGAAAATTTATATATATAAAAAAGTCGATTCATTACCCTTTGCATTACCAGTAACTACAGAATTGGAATGATATAACTAGACAACTTTTTCAATCGACAAATAATTCCAACAGTCTATTTTATGTTCCATTTTTGAATATGAAGTAACTAGATCACTAAGTCACTAGCTATATAACTATGTAATAGATGATAATTGATATTTTTTGAAAAAATGGGAATTTTCAAAATTTCTGTTTCTCTGTCATTCAACTGTGAGAAATATTGTTATAAAATTACATTTCAAATTTTAAGGAAGAAAAATATTTTGTATTCAATCCAAATATTCTTGTTAATGTTATATTTTCTCATATAAAGATTGATGTGCTTCTGTTTCGCCTATCGCCATAGTATTGGTCATATATTTCGACTTCTTCCGAACTAATGTTTGCCAAAATATCCTCATTTTTTCGTTCAGTGTATAAAAACTAAAAGGAATGAATGACAATTTTGAGAATATTTTTTATTTTCAAATGTTTCTCTTTTTTATAATTGTGTATGTGAGAAATTTGACACACACCGACAACCCATGGGACCTATTTTGGGCACTGCTGCTCTAAACTTGCCCAAATGAAATGAAATTTAGCATAGGTTCCAGAAAGACATAAAAAATTCAAAATTCCTTCCAAAAGGAGACGCCTTTTCGGATACATATGTATGTATGTAGAATATACCCAAAGTGGTGAAGGGTATCATATAGTCGGCCCAGTCCTATTTTACTACTTTCCTTACTGGTTTATTATAAAGTTTGACCCTTGACATTATGTGCCAAGCACTACATCATTTAAATGGTTTCTACACGGACATTGATTTTTTTGGCCTACTTTTTGATCACTTTTTGACACATATTGGGCGGTATCTCAGTCATAACATGTCAAATGTTGGTTTTTAAAAGTTCGAACGCACCGTCTTGTTGAAACCACATATTTTCCATGTATGTGAAAGATTAATATCTATATTAATTTTTTTATTTCACATGTCTAGTTTATGGATTTTCACATATTCCAATATAAAATATTATTTTTTATAATATGTCCATTTGTGACACGATTCTAGCATTCTATATATGATACAATGATATCAATGTAAATGTAATGTAAATGACCGATGTATGTTTCCGACTTTTCTGACGTATAAACATCGGAAACCCACACAAAACCCTTAGGTTTTTTACAAAATAGCTATTTCTATTAATCAATATGGAAATTGCCTTATAGAAATCCATATTAAATTTCAAAATTTTCTCCTCCAAAAAGTATAGAATTTTTTTTAAGTTCTAGTTAGAAAGAAAGGGTATTATGTCTTTGTGCAAATGTTTGTAACAGGAAACGACACCCACCCATGGTTCCTCTTGAGAATATGCATAAAAACACTTTCTGACTCGATTTATGCATGTCCGTCGTCTGTATGTCTGTCTATGTTCATTCAACTATTTGCAAGACGGTTTTATATTTATTAATAAATATTTTGTTGTTCATATTTCTGTTGAACATTCTCAACATTTCTAATACATCTTACGATGTTAAAAATGAAATAAAATCTTCTCATTAATATGCAACACAGTGCAGGTCGCATTTATTGTCGAAATTTAATGTAATTGGTGTGCACCAATTACAATAAATATATCTTTAGATTTAGATATAGCTCCTATATAGTAAGTGTGGTATAGGTTGGTAATGTTAGTGGTATAGGTTGGTATGTTTTATAGTCATTTTTTTGTAAACTGAAACATGTTCTATAGTTTGCTGTTCTCAAAAAAAATAAGATAGCAATGATCTGTTTAATTTAAAAAAAAAAACATTTTTTTTTTAACATTTGTTATATAAAATTAAAAACATGATCACATTATTTCTTCGAACAAAAAACAAACAATTTTCCTCAATATGTTGTTTTGATGTTGCTGTAATTTACAAACAGATTTGTGTGAATTTGATATCATTTACTTTATAGTGGTGTATAGAGTAAGTATATAAGTAGATATTTGTTTGTTTTTTAATTAACTTTTAAGTGGATATTTTTTATAAAAAAAAATGATGTAATGTCCTATATTTTTATAATATATCCATATTAATATTTCGCGAAGGAAGGCAGATATCAACGCTGTTGGTCAACCAAAAATTTGACCACCAATGGATTCGGAGTCAGGACATTTTTCTCTTTATATATAACAAATATAATTGACGTAATACGAAAACAAACAAAAAAAAAACAATTTTTTGAAATAGAATATTATAAAATTGGCAATATTGCCCATATATGTATGTTTAGTTTTCTACGAAACTGAATAACAGATATAATTAGATGTATAATCTCGGCTTTATATGTGAATTTATGAATTTATAATGTTTGTAATTCAATTATTTGTTGGCAATAGCATATTCATAATTAATGTGTGCTAACTGACTTCATAATTATCTGCACCAAAACCAGGTTGACTTTAAGTCGATTAGATTATTTAAATATTATACGATATTTAAATAAACTGCCAGCAAAATAATTTCAATGTATATTTTCACTCAACTATTTGCAAGACGGCTTTATATTTATTAATAAATATTTTGTTGTTCATATTTCTGTTGAATATTCTCAACATTTCTAATACATCTTACGATGTTAAAAATAAAATAAAATCTTCTCATTAATATGCGACAATGCGATCCGATCAAATAAATATCCATTATGTATTATAATATGATTTTTGCGAATAACTGTAAATGATAATTTCGCCAACATTTGCACATTTGTCTATGCCAAAGAGGTTAACAAGAAACTGTATCAATAATTTAGCATATCCACTGCTGCCTATCTTGATCTCACCAACAGGCAAGCCGGCAACTACTAAGACGCTATGTTATGCAAATCGACCCTCGACAGCTAGTTTGCCATTCTAAAGATTCTGTGAACTTTGCTGATTAGAAATTTTCGCAAATTATTAATATGCTAAACTATTTTTGGGTCATCGATGTTAAAGCGGCGTCTAAAGTTCAGGTCGGTCAGATTCTGCACGGGGGGAGAGTGAGATGTTATGATATGCGAAGAAGAAATTCGCAAGTTTGCAAAAACTATGCGAATTTATGACATTGACCGGCCGTGTCAACAGAACTACCCATTGTTGTTGGCATCCGAGTCCGTTAATGAAACATATAAAATCCGAGGTCGTTGGGTGAAATGGTATCAGTCTTCTTCTGGCAATTTTATGCATAGGCATACAAATCGCAGAGATACAAGGACATTTCGTATTGTGACCATTTCCACTTATCACATTCCAAAATGCGTTCAAGCCTCCTGCTGGTGGTTCTGACCGCCCTGGTATTCCAATCAGTCTGTAAGTACAACTTTAGGCAATTTGTCCACCTGTGCAACATTTGATGTAATTGTTTATTTACTCTAGACGGCCGTAACGTGGAACGCTCCAATAATGGCTATAAGCTTTTCCGAGGCGCTGAACGCTCCGCTGCAGTCTCTCGAGATGAAAGTGAAGCTCGTGGTGATATTATGCAATGGTTCAATAAAGGTGCCACTACCGAGGCCCCAGTAGTGGAACCATCACCTACAACACCAACATCTCCCACTTCTCCAACGTCTCCCACATCACCAACGTCTCCTACATCACCAACGTCTCCTACATCACCGACATCTCCCACATCGCCAACATCTCCCACATCGCCAACATCTCCCACATCGCCAACTTCTCCCACATCGCCAACTTCTCCCACTTCACCAACTGCCAGAGCCGACAATGGCAACAGACAAATGAGCGAAAATGATGATGAAGATGACGACAATAATTCGGTAGAAGGAGAAGAGGAAGATTTCCGCAAACACAAGATGGACTACGACGATGATGATGAGGATTTTGATGACGACGAGGATGACGATGAAGATTACGATAACAATGGCGTCTCCACCAACAAAAGGAGAGCCGATCTCGTCGACAGAAAAACACTCCGTCGTGAACTCAACAAACGTTTGGCTAAATTGAGGGAGGAAAACCAAAAGCGTATCAATAGAAATTTTCGTAGGCGCCTTCGTCGCATGCGCCGCCGACAAAATAGGCGTCAAATGCGCAGACGTTTAAGGCAAAGACGCATTGCCAATAGAAGACGTCGTCGTGCAATGCGCCGTCGTCGCATTGCTTTGAGACGCTTTAGACGCCGCCGCAATCGCATCATCAGGAGAAGAAATCAACAACGCAGACGCCGCAATCTACGCAGACGTGCTATAAGGCGCAGACGTCAAAATATTGTCAGACGTCGTCGCAGGCAGGATCGTAGAAGGTTAATTCGTCGTTTGACACGTGGACGTGGTGTTCGCTATATTTAGACCTCAAAATGACAAAGTATTATGAATAAAGGCAACGAACTATTATTGATTGAGAACAAAATGCATCTGTTTTTTTTACTTATTTGGTTGTCACTTCGAAAATTGGGGGGAAACTTTGGGAATATTGGGAAGATCATTGAACGAACAACTAAATATATCTTATATTTACTAGGACACCATATGTCATTGGGGTTAGTAAAATATGTCGAAAACATCAAAACTACCTGAAGAGTTTAGGGTGCTGCACTGTATCAATTATAAGAACGAACGGTACGAATAAGACAAATTCAATACATTACCGATTAACAAAATAACATATTGAAAATAGTCGTACATAATGCCATGGTAATCTTGGTTAAGCAAACTTGGATGGTACCTCCATTATTCGGTATTTTTAGGAATTTTCATCCAAAACGGAAAATATTTTGGGCCTCCATTGGGTGTCAAATCTTCCTTCCTACTATCTCTACTTGTTTAAAAAAGACACTATGTACGATACACCAATTTGAAGTACTTTGAGAATTTCGATATGTTCAAGGTCCTATCCCAACTCCCTAAATATTTGGCATATGATTCAAATAAAAGTGCCGATCGTATTCGTTATTTTGAATGGAGGGTATACAAAATATATTTGACCCCGCCGTCGGAAAATTCTGCCTCCATGAAGAAACATCAGACACGGGCATGAGATTGACTTCGCTGCAGCAAAAAATAAGCAGCACCAGATTCAAGAATGTCGATATACACAAAGCCACCTGGTCGTTGTTTGATCGGGAGACGTAGACGTTCGATCAATCCGAGAGCAAATATCGATTCGGACTACAGCCTTGCAGCAGCTAAGGTTCGCACTCGTCTTAATGTAATTCGATGTCGAAAAGCTGCAAACACAACAGGTAGCAGAAGCCTATTCCGCTCAACTTAGCTTGACGAAAGCACTCTTTGTCCCTATAATAATATAGAAACACAATAGCAAAGAATTGTCCACTCCATCCAAACTGCAGCAAAAGCAACACTTGTGTACCAAAGACCACCATTATGAAACCCGTGATTCGATCAGAAGTGTCGTGATTCTACTGATGTAAAAAACTGCAGACATTAGCATCACGTGTTGCGAGGGAGAAAAGGAGAGAAAAAAGAAGAAACAACAAGAAGAACGTGAGCTGAAGCAAATCGAGAAGTGCAGGAGTCAGAACGAAGTCCGGGTTTTTACCAACGGGTAAAACACCAAACCGAAGGATTTGGTGCAGCACATCCTCCTGTAGAGATGAAGATGGAAACCTAGTGACAGATACACATAGCGTGTTGAGGATATGGAAGAAGCATTTTACAAAGCTTCTGGTATCAAATAGTGGCGGTGAAGAAAATACCCCAGAACCAATAAGAGATGACGGTAAAGATTGTATATCACCTTGTATACCACCTGGTCAGGAGCAAGTGTCAGCTGATTAGTACACTTTGGCTAGAGGAATGCATGTCCAATGATTGGAACATTAGCATCATTAAATAAGCCTGTTTCCCATCGCATATAAAGTACTATCCAGCGTACTGTGTGCATGACTGAAGCCATTGGTCAATGACATTATAGGCCATACCAATGCAGCTTCAGGCCTGGCAAATCCGCCATTGACCAGATTTTCACTCTTCGCCAAATCCTGGATAACACCCACGAAAAACACATCGACACATTTCATCTATTCGTTGACTATAAAGCCGAATTCGGCCGCCTAATCCGTTCAGAGTTGTTTAAGGCCATGTCGGCGTTAGGCATTTCTGCAAAATTAATACGGCTATGCATGATAGCTTTAACTTGCACAAGGTCAGCAGTTACAGTCGAAAACGACCTCTCGGAGCGCTTTAATACCGAACAGGGCTCAGACAAGTTGGCAGTATGTCGTGTGATATCATCCTGCTCGAAAAGGTCATACGTGTGACAAATGTGAACATGTTACTTGCCTAAACCGATGGTATCGTTGTAATGAGCGATAACTGTAATTTTTGAGCAATTGAGAAGGAGTCTGCCAAAGTGGGACTGTCAGTAAATGAGAAAGCTGATGGTATCAACGGGCAAGACGTCCAGTAGACTCGGACTGTGTCTGTGGAACTTCGAAGTAGTCAAAGATTTTATATACCTTAGCACCGCCATAACTAAAACTAATGACATCAGGATAGTGTTGGCCAACAGATGCTACTATGGCCAGAGTAAGCAATTCAAAAACAAGGGCATCTCTCGCCATACCAAACTCACACTCGAAAAGACGCTGATACTTCCCGTGCTGTTATATGGCTCTGAAGCATGGGTATTTGCGAAATCAGATGAACCAGCTCTTGGAGTGTTCGAGAGCAAAATTATCCGAAAGATCTATGGGCTGATGAACCATGAGTTGTACAATCGATATAGCCAGCGACTACGTTAAAAAGCGAGACCACGAATTCGATGGAAAGATCAAGTTTAAGACAAATGAGAAGTGCTACGCACACGACCGATGCACTTGGAAATCTTCTTTAAGCTCGGCTTATAGAACAAATGTTCTGTCAAAAGCCAGCTAAGTAAGTATAAAAAGTACTATAATTTCATTTTCTTTAACTAAAATATCCACATATGTCCATTTTAAATAAATCGAATATATCATTAATTTAAGTATGTTTTAACATAACAATAAATGTATTAGCCCGCTAATGTTGTATGGTAATAAATTCATTCAAGCATCAGTGAATTAATTATTTGTTTTATTATTTATTTATTTTGTGTTGATTTTTTTTTTTTTTTTTTTTTTTGACTCAAAATTATTAATGATCTTCAGTGAATTAACTGTACTTTTAGTTACTGAATATTTTAAATTTAAACTCGTGTCTTCCCATTTGTTTATGCAAATAAGCTGAGGTATGATTATGTCTAAAACATGTTTGATTATACTGTTGGTAATGTAGTAATGGCAGGCACATTGCGACAGAAAGTTGTGCTTAAGCCGAGCTTAAAAAATATGTCCAAGCGCGTCGTTCTTGAAATCCAATTTAAAAGATTACTAAGCTAGCTTGCGACAGAACGGTTGTGCTTAAGCCGAGCTTAAAAAAATGTCCAAGCGCGTCGTTCTTGTGCGCATCTCATCCAACTCGCACAAAAGGAATAAGGTCTACACAAAAACCAGAACGAAAACTACCCAACGGAGGATCTATTTTGTATGAAGTCGTCCAACTAACGCAAAAGGGATAAGCTCTACACTCTAGAAAAGACGCCCTAAGAAGCTCTAAGGATCCACTAACATATTATAATATAAAACAAAGTCATGTAAGTGTATTACTCATTGAATTAAAAAAAATTTGTCGAAAAAATTGTGTGTCCAAAAACAGGTGAAAATATCAAGAGATTTTTTTTTTTTACTTCGTATAGTGCGTATTTAAAATATTTCAATTTCTGTGAAGTGATTAAGATTGTGTTATACCAACTTTTCTATAAAAAAAGATATTATGAACGCGGACGAAATTTCAAAATTGATAGAATCCGCTGTACGTGCAGCGATTCAGACACATAAATCAGAAGTCGACAAAAAAGTCGACGATCTATCAAGAAAATTGTCGTCCATTTCCATAGGACAAACAGATGTAAAACCGTATGAGGAAGTAAAAATTTTTTCAACAATAACATGCGATGAGTCGCTAGACGTTATTAAATCTTTGCCCGAATTTGACGGGAAAATAGAAAATTATGTGTCGTGGAGACAAGCGGCACATAACGCGTATAAAGTTTTTGAAAGATATGATGGTAGCTCAAGGCACTACCAAGCAGTTTGTATCATTAGAAATAAAATCAGAGGACCGGCAGATGCAGTATTAGCATCATTCAATACGGTGTTAAATTTTAAAGCTATAATAAATAGGTTGGACTTTACGTACTCAGATAAACAACCAATTCACCTGATCGAACAGGAACTAAGTACCCTCAGACAAGGCGGACAGTCAGTGATACAATTTTATGATGAAGTGGAGAGAAAGCTCTCATTATTAACAAATAAAACTATTATGAGCTATGACAGAAATTTAGCTTTAGCCATCAATAACAAATACCGACAAGACGCACTCAGAGTATTTGTTTCCGGATTAAGGAAACCTCTCTGTGATGTACTCTTCGCGGCCCGCGCCGCTGATCTTCCCTCAGCTCTAGCCTTAGCGCAAGAAGTGGAGGCGAATCATGAAAGATACGTTTTTGCTACATCATTTGCAAATAGGAATGATGAAAAAAAGAGTAGGTCTGAAACCTCAAAAAAACTTCCATTAAGAAAACCGTCTGATAATAGTTATAACAATAACCAACAAAATTATCATAAACACAAAAACCCACATTACGAAAAGGGTGCTGATGCTAATTTACAGCCTAGAGATCAAACCGAAGAAATGGACTTGGATCCAACGTCTTCCAAATTCAGATCACCGACTAATTATGGTAACGGTAGAAATTCTCACAGACAACCTTTTAAGCGTCAAGCAGGGTCTGACCGGAGTACGGGCCCAAAATTTCAAAAAGTTAATCAAATAATTCCGGAAGAGCAGGCGGTACAATATGGTGACATAGCTCACTCTGAATTTGAAGACATAAATGACGAATTAAAGGAAGATTGTGATTATGTTAATTTTTTAGAGGAAGGTCCCTACTACCGTTTGTAAGGCGGACAGTAGCGGGGAAACCAATACGCCTTTTAATTGACACAGGGGCTTCGAAAAATTATATAAAACCTCTCCATGAACTGAAACATATAATTCCTGTAAGTACTCCTTTCTCGGTTCACTCTGTCAATGGACAAACACCTATTAAACAAAAATGTTTTGTAAATTTATTCGGCATGAACTCTACATTTTTCATTTTGCCAACTTTAACAACATTTGACGCTATTGTGGGCTTAGACCTATTAAAACAAATCAATGCAAACATTGACCTAAATAAAGGAGTCATCCTACATAATTCTGGCTCTGAACTTATTGAATTTTTTGAATGTAAAGATGTTAAT